TGCATTTTTTATTTTTCAAGGCGATAACTAAGATTGTTTTTCCTCATTGATAATTAGAAATTCACAAAACTTAAAATTTTAAAAAGAAAATTTATTAAAACAACATGGCATTAAATAAAAAATTTTATTTTAAAAAAAAAGCAATTAAAATTTACAAAAATAAAAACATATACCACAGAATCGAGTCTTATATATATTAAAAAGTTATTAAAATGATTATGGAGAGCCTAACAATGGATAGCAGGAGAGGCCTTTCTAATGTAAAAGAGCAAGCTGGTGAAAATGATCAAGTAGAAGATGCAACTATTAAAAGTAAATGTATAGCATAGCTTGAATAAGAAAATTTGGTAAAGATAACTAGTTATGCCCAAATAAAATTGTTATACTTAAGTAATAAACAAAACTTTCCAGTAAAATAGGTGCATTATTGTATTAATTAGTTAGGATATTATTTTCGAACAAGCCGCATACCTGTAAAGAACTTAAATTTAGTTATTTATAATAGTACAGTAATAGATTTCAAAATATTGTACTCAATACTATAAATTACCGGCAAAAACTTTAGTTATAAATCATAAGGTCAAAAATGATTGAAGATTATTACACAAAATTGATCAAAAAATTTTAACATAAAAATTAAAAAATACGCCTTATTTATTTAAAAATTTAATTCAAACTTTTAAATAAATAAACAAGTATTAAAGAAAGATACATCTGTTACATTCGAAAATATTTTTTATACTTTTCGATTTAGTTAGACCGTATTTTAAAAACCACACTTTAAATGATAGATTGTAAATAGATAAAAATTTTTATAAGCAAAATACAAAAATATTTAATAAACGCCTTAAAGGAATTTTTATTATCTATATACGTGCCCTTTTAGTTGTATTAAAATAAAATTTCTGTCTATTTTACCTCCTAGTTTAAAAAAAGGATTATTTTCTTAAAAATCCAATCAAAATTCCAAGTTAAAAAGACATTTTCTAAAAATTTCACAACATGATAGTTATTATGATTTTTAAAAATTTTTTAAATTTTTTTGTGAGATTTTGATCAATAATTAATTCCTTAATGAAAAGATAAAAGGAGAACATTTAAGTTTTAACAAAATATTTTTATGTCGATATAAGTTATATACTGTTTGTAGTTTTATTTAAAACATTCCAAACCCTTATGCTTGTTTCAAATATCAAATTTTTTATAATTATTCAAAAATATTAACTATATCTAAAAATTTTCCGTGATTTTTTATACGTGCAGAAACAACTAATACTTTAGTTATAGATATAGAATCAAAGGCAAGACTTATTTTCACAAAGTTTAGTTCTTAAATTTACATAAATTTTTTTAAAAATTCAAAAAGTTGTACTCCCTTCCAAATAAAAAATGCAATGAGAAAACCAGAGCCTACAAAAAATTACAACTTGAAAATCTAAAATGATGTTTTTGAAACAGTTCGCTGTCTAAAAATTTAACTTTGAATCATTTAAAATTTTTTGATACAAATATTCTAATTTTCTGATCATAAAATAATATATTAATGATAAGTTGTGAAGTCGCAAATTACATGAAAAAAAATAAAGCATTTTAAAATTAGAAAGTGAAAATTTACATATCCCGCCACAAATAAAGTTCAACAATTTACAAAATGTTCTAAATTTCTAGTTGTTGTAAAAACTTTTATCTTGCTCTTACTTACTTCTCACTTCGGAATCAAAGTTAAAATTTTTTGTTTTTATATAACTGTAAATTCAATTGGGATATCATAGTTGATATTAGCGATATAATTATTTTTTTGTCTTAATATATTAACTTAAACATTCATACTCTTTTGAAACGACGTTGTTATATTTGGTATAATTTCTCGTGGATTATAATATACAAAACGTTCAGTTTTTTGTTCCAGTCTTAAAAATAATACACAAATTTTTTATTATCTTTATGGCATTTATGACTAGTAAGTTCTTTCAAATCTAAAATAAAAATGTTTAAAGAAATAACTTACATCCTCTCTTATTTTATCTCAAAACAAGAATATCAATGTTATGTGTTTATAATTAAAAAATAATTAGTAACAGCCACTTTTCTTCATTTTTTTTACCTTGAATGATATTTACAGGTAATTTTTGTTCATATTAAGGCTTAAAACTAAAGAAAACTGATAGAATTTGGGTTTAGAGTAATTAAATTTCAAATTTAAAAATTTTTGTTCATAAATTGATGATTTTTGTCTTAACCCTTAATGAATCGTCTATCTTTATTATGTCTGTTACTACCATTAATTATTACAAAAGATGTCGAAGATAGAGAAATGAACATAGCGGAGTTTTTTGCAATCGTGGCATATTATGGAGCTTTTGTGTGAACTTTCTTTTTATGTATTGCTATATTTTTATACCTGTTTTTCTTTTATTTATTATACAATTTCATTTTTAATTAGTAAATAAATTAATTATTCTAATTTATTTTTTTACACAATAAGTACTACTGCATAATAATTCTAATTAACAAATAATGTTAAACTTTAAAATTACTAAACCGTTCCACAGGAACGAAATTTGCCAAGCGCAATCGCAAAAGCTATCATATTCTAAATTTTGTACTTTAGTTACATTAATTTTACACTACTTATACTAAATTTAAATATTTTCTTTTTTTTATTCAATGTACAGAGATTTATATTATCACTTCATATGCTAATTCTTTTGCATTAATTAAATGTTCTAAAGAGACAAATCTATTTTTTAAGTGAATCTCTATAAAGTTTTGTTGTAAAATTCTATTTTATTAAATTATTTTTTCTCAAATTATCTAAATTATTAACAAATTAATTTTTTCTGAAGTTTATTATGTCTTTCTTTAAAATAATAAATTAAAAATTTCTTATGTATCCTGTGTTAAAGAAAGTTTATTAAACTTTAACAATACTCGATTAAACTGTTATTGTTTTTCGTGTTCCTTTAAAATTCATAGAATTATGTCTATTATTGTCTAAACTACTACTAGCGATTCTATCAAGTTCATCTACCCTTCTTTCTATAATTTTATTTATATTATTATTTCGCGTAAAAGTACTAAGAATTCTACCAAACCAAAATGAGATAAAATGATCTAAAAAACCCTTTAATTGGCTTTTTTTAAAATTAATATAAAGACGTACATCAGTAATTAATGGCCTATATATATAAATTAAAATGGGCTATGGTACTTTATATTACATTATAAAAAATTATAACGATTAATAGCTCTCTAATGGCACATAAAAAAACTTAGTAGTGTTTTTTTAGAATTATTAACTGTTTAGAATTTTTCTATACGCTGTATCTAGTCGCCTAGTTTATGAGATTTTTGGATATTATTAACATCTTGTTATAAACTTAGATCAGATATTATTACATGGTAAACTTTACTTTTTTGTAAACTTCAATTTATACCATTTTAAGCACTTATCGTTTAAGGTTATTGCCCGTATTCTATTAAGGCACAATACCAAATTTTTAAACAAAATGTTTTTTTGTAGAAAAATAAAGTAGCGAAATAGAAAATATAATTTTATTTTTTTACAAAAAACTCGAATAAACCATAATTACATTTCTAAAAAACTACTTTACCACATTGTTACGGGAATATTATAAATTAATAACCCTTAACTTATAAATCATAACACACATAAAAGCGTGTTTTTGTATAATGTTGATAGGTTTAAATAGACGAGTGAAGATTTTTATTGTTGTAATTTAAAAAAAAAAAAATTTACCCGGAGCTTAAAAATAAAATTTAAAAATTTTATTACCCTTTTATTAAAAAGGAAAAAATTTTTGCCTAAGCTTAAAATTATAGCCAAATATAAAATTAAAATGTGTCACATAAAATTGCAGAAAAAATTCAATATATATCCTTTGTATGTCTCTATAAAAATAAAAGACTATAAAAGAAAAGAAACAGTTATTCGAATTGAGGATTTGGATGAAAAGTTTTTATTAAATGTTAACGAATTCTGTATCTTTATAAGAAAATTAAAATATATTCATTTATAAGCGCAGGAATGTATTTACAGCCATATAATATTGCCAGAAATACACTTTTAAAGATATTTTTTGTATTTTAAGTCCAAATGAGAGCTTATAAAAATATTCTAAAACAAACTTGCAACTTATTTTTTAACAGCAGGAGATTCACTTTAGTGTTGATTGCAGAAAAATTTATGGAAAAAAATAAAAGAATGTACTAAATGCTTAAATAATACTATAAAATTACAAAGGCTTCTGATTACGTTGATGATTTCATTTATAGGTGTTTAGACTATAAATGTAGAAAAAAGAAATACATTTTTTTAATTGTTTTTTAAGCACACCTAATATTTCTATTAATAAAAAGATTTTAGCAATATATGAGTACTTAGCACGTGATTTGTTAAGAAGAATTGTACAGATTGTGATATAGTTCAATCTGCG